GGGGGGTGACTTTTGGGATTAGAATCCATTGATTGACTCCATTGGCAGCCAGCGCTTATTCGGTCAGAGACAGCGCTGTATACACAGCAGGAGGGGGGCCAGCGACCGCTCACCACCCGCCAGGAATTTCAGACGAAATTTCACAGAAGGTCGCAATTTGGCTGTGCAGCGGTGTGCTTCTTGCATGCGACAGTCTGATTAGCACGCGGGTATAAGTACACCTGCAGTGCCTCCAGGGCCGGCACACTTTTGCGCGCGACTAGCTCCGCGGCCCGACTGGCGGACTGGCGGGCGGGCGTGCGGAAGAGGCACGGCGTTTGTCGTTTTCGCTGCAGTTTAGCAGCGGCAGACCGTTATGAAAATACTGCGACTGGTCGGAAATTTGGGGACGCGGGTGCAAAATTGCAATTACAGTCGTTGTTAGCCCGACTTCCTCCCCTTACTTTCGGTATCGCGATAAATCACCCGTTGCACGCCGGGTAAACCCTTGGGCTGGTCATTGCCGGGGCCAGCTCGGGCCCGCAGTGGTGTGACGCCGAGAATAAACTCAAGGACTCTGCCTCGCGGAGGTCTGGGGCCGGCCCGCCCCTGTGCCCCTTGAGCTGGCTGTGCCCCTTGAGCTGGGCTCGGACCCTTTGGTCGCCCCGTAGAGGTGCCCGCGGTGCCCCCGAGAGGGTCGTGGCGTGGCGTGGCGGGGCCGGGGCGGGTCGCTCCGGCTCCGAGGGCGGGACGTGGGCCTCGTTCACCAAGCTTATCGGGCACCAGCATCTAAGTGCCGACGAGTGCCCATAGCTAGCGGGACTGACTGGCCTCCGCCGTCCAATATTTCAACGCCTTTGCAATTTTTCAACAAGCCTGCTCGTCGACGTCGAGGTGGACGCGGAGACGGAACAAGGACGATGTACAATAACTGCAAAACCTGGGAGAATAATCGAGAAGGGGCGTTGTCTTTCGTTTCTCGAGCCGAAACTGTCAGAACCGGTCGAAAGGTCTGCCATCCTCGCCGTCGCTCCGCCGTGAGTCAACAAACCATTTCGTTTCGTTACGGCAGCGGGCACATAAAGAAAGTAAATAGTTTTCCCTCGACGAGTTTCACATTTTTATGACAGCTTCCGTGGCAAGCCCCGTTATGCGACGGCCGCGACGCCGTCCGCCGACCTCGACGGTCAAGGGGAAGTCTCGGGGCGTTCACCCGGTTCAACCCCTCCGCCGTATGACCTCGCGAGGTCACGCGGCGGCGTGCGCTGCACTCTGATGCAGTGCGCCCTGGAGCTACACAGCGAAGCGACGACGGCGAAGGGCGTTCTGAGCAGGGCTCCCCGGGTCGTTCGACTTGGCGGGTAGTGCCGATCTTGGATAAAGTCCCCCAAAATGTTCGTACTGTTTTGAAAAGGGTAAAACTAACACGAATATATTCGAGATTGGGCACCGAAAGTCAAATAACCCGGGGAGCGCCCCGCCCTCTCCGATCAGGCTCCAGCGGCGCGCGCCTTGTGGCCGGGCTGCTACTGCACCGCTGTGCAGCCGTGCGGGCGGGCTGCCTACCCACGCGGCGCCGTGCGGGGCCCGGCGGAGCCTCCAGCAGCCCCGTGGTCTGTGAGGCGGTCAAGCCGCTGGGGGATGACGACAGGCGCTAGGAAGTCGGCATGCAATACGACACCTTACACAGTCAACCGGCAACCGGAGCTGCCCGGTCCACGCGGAATAAGTGCGGGAGCTTCAATAAGCAGGCGTCAGACACGGCAGATGATACGGAGCCACACCGAAAACTCATCGAAAAGCTGTGTAGCAGTGATGGCGTGGCGTTGGGGTTAATGGTGCCGGAGGGTATGGGGGTGAGGTCGCCGTCGAGTAGTGCTGGCCGCATTATGCAAGGCGATAGGCATGGTGATAAGACGGGCACCCCGCCCCGCCACGCCGCCGCGGCGGTTCCGCTCGGGCCCAGAGGGCGGCCCCGTCCCCGGGCCTCCTCACCCCCGCCCAGCGCCCCAAGGTCATTCGCTGGCCACAGCCGGCCGCACCACCATAGTATAACTCTACACCACAGGGGCTGACGAGGACGAGGAAGGCCAACCGAAATTGAAGGAGTTACTTACTGCTTTATGTTCAGTTCCATAACCCCATGCATCTCAGAATTTTGAAAGAGAAAGCGCGCAAGGCCCATTCTATGTGCATCTCTCCTTGCGCGACGTTCATCCGACGAGTATGAGGTATTGGGTACTTACGACGAAGGGTGCCTGCTGATCCGCCGGCGTCCAGGGCCCGATGCGACAGCTCTCGGGGGGCTGGCGAAGGTGTACGTCTTGGGGCCGAAACTTCCGCTGGAGCACGCCAGGGCGGCGTTGTGCATTCTACGCCGTGACGAGCGCGCGAGTCCCGGTTACCGCGAGCGTGCCGATGACAGGCGTCCCCGCGGAGCAGAGGGGCTGTCGAACGATCATTTAGGGCCGAAACGGGAACCCGTCAATGAGATACGAAGTGCGGAGCCGCTGTCAACGGGAATGCAGGTCGCCATCGTTGTTTACTAACAGAGCAGAAGACACAGCCGGTTGTCATGGTCACAATGCGAGGACCCGTCCCGTTGTCCCGTTCCTCCTACTCCCCGCGAGTCGCGACTCGCGAGCGCCCTCAACGGGCAAAGCTGCCACGTGCTCAGAGAGTCTGAGTAGCTTAATCGCTCGATCAAACTCGATCCGCGCATCCACATCTACGCAATCCGCTCTTAGTTAGCCCTTGCTAATCTATCCCCGCAAGAGAAAACCGAGAAAACTGACGATTGTTGAAACAGCGGTGCATGGTCGATCATAATGCAAATGTAAAAATTGAATTAAATTCTAAGGAAACGGGGTTGGGGGGTATTAGTGGAGGTCGGTCGAAAGCGTCGAAAGGGCGCGCGCGCACGCCCGCGAGTGTGTTGGTCGTGTTGGTGTTGAGGATCACTGGAAGGGGAAGCGTAGTGAAGGGGAGGGGAGGGGGAAATGGAGTAGTGGAAGACAGCTGTCGGTGCCGGTGTTTTAAATTTTTCGCTCCGAAATGAAACTGAATGAAAATACCTGTATTCTTGGAAAGGATGTCGTTTTAATTCCGTACCAAGGACAACACGTTCCAAAGTAAACTGCGACATTATTATTATGATTAAAAATGCAAACAAGCTGCTAGAAACACATGTTATTAATTATAACCTCTTTCATTCCATCAACCAGATATCACAATTGGATGAAGTCAGAAGAACTTCAACACCTTACAGGCTCAGAGCCACTTTCTCTGGAAGAAGAGTATGAAATGCAAAAAAGCTGGCATGTAGATGCAAACAGTATGTTAATGTAATTGAGAGTCTTTATTCCTTTGCGCATAGCAATGCCGGTGTTTATGTTTCTCTTGACTTGGTTTCAGAATGTACATTTATTGTCTTAGAGAAGAGAATATTTGAGGAAACTGGTGATGAAATAGGTAACTTTTTAGCTACCAACCACATTTAAGTGAAGTACAGTATGTCTCACTGAAGTTGTTAATTTATTTTCAGAAGCAATGATAGGAGATACTAATTTGTTTTTGTCAGATGAAATACAGTGCCAAGCGGAAGCAGAAATAATGATAGCAGAGCAAAGTGCTCGAGGAAAACGGAGAGGCTGGGAAGCAATGATGATTATGCTTAGATATGGTTGGTAATCAATGAACATTTCCTCTAAATTTTTGAATAAAATAAACTCATACATTTTTAACTACAGGTTTGGAATGCATCAACATTAATAAGTATGAAGTTAAAATAAAACTCGACAACAAAGCTAGTATAAAAATGTTTTCAAAAATAGGATTTTTAGAGGTACAGCCATTAACCAATTAAATGCATCCAATTTATTTAATTGAGTTCTAACGAGACATTCCAGTATTACTATTTTTGTTGCAGATCAGTCGAAGTGAAGTATTTGGAGAGTGTACAATGCAGTTAACAAAGAATGATGATTGGGTTGAATGGCTCCGGAAGGAGACAACTAATTACAGAATAGTTGACTATAATAAAGTGAACAGCGTGCAATAGATCAATAAATCTCCTATATTTGTATTTTAAAAACATGAGTATAGTGCAATATAATTTAAAAAGCATTTCAAAGTCAAAGAGAATTTGTGTTACAATAGTTTTACAGGTAAAAGTATAAAGATTTAGTCTGAAAAGCAAAATGTAACAGTCATATAATAAAATAAATTACAGCATGCAATAATTTTCATTGGTATTCAGTTTCTTTTGATACTATAATTCTTCTAGTCATTTTAGGCTTTGCAGTTCTGACAAGTTTTTTGGGTGGTGACTGCTTAACACTCACTTCACTTTTAAAGGTTTCTGTTTCGGAAGCAGGTTGGGGGTCAGCAAACCTCACCCTCCTAGTTAGATTTTGATCAATAGGTATAAGTGAGGGCCTTGAGACTTTGGCAAGGATTGATTGTCTTGGAGCTGGAAATTTTGGAATAGGGAGAATATTTTCAACATCATCATGAGTAGGTTTTTGAAAACAAGATTCACTTTCACAGGAATTTTCTGCATCAGAGTCATCAATGCTAGTGCTTTGATTGCCATGGTGTAATTCTTCTCTTTTCACAGAAACTGTTTGAGAGCAATCTTCTAGCTTAGGCTCAGGCTCTAATTTAGAAGACCCACGAGTAAAAATATCCTCCCTGAGTATCTCTGCAGAATTACTTTCACTCAATGATTCAAATTGGATATTTTGCTCCTTAATCTCTGCCTTAAAAAGACCAATTGGTTTTGTTGGACTGGGCAGAACAAATTCAAATGGTTCTTCTGAAGCCTCCTCTTTAACTGAAGAACATTCTTCCATGCCTAATTTTGCAAGCTCATCTGGTCCAGATTCTGCATTGAAAGTGAGAGATTCAGTATGTTTGAGCAAACTGTTATCATCTTCACTGACACCACTGCTGTCATCATTTGACAATTGAAGCCTTTCCATCATCTCTGCTTTTATAAGTCGTTTGGGTTTAGGTAAACTTGGCAAGAGGGAAGAGGAAACAGGTAAAGTAGAGGTGCAAGCTGGAATTTCATATTTAACATCTTCTTTTGGATATTCTAATATATGGTTATTTTCCTCAACTGGGTCAGTTTGAGTGCTAGCTGTCATTAGTCCATCAGAGGAAAACAATGTTTTCTTCAAACGTTCAAGAGATTGCTCTGAAACAAAAAGAAATGTTAAGTAGAGTCATATTACCTTAAAATTTAGGCTAGTCCTTCAATTGCTTACTAGGTGATGGTAGGTCTGTAATATTTGCTTCTCCCAGTTTATCCCTCAGAACAAGATTTTCAGCATTAGCTGACAAAACTTGTGATCTGAGAGTCAGTATCTCGCCACGAGCCATGTAGAGAGCTTTTGCTTCATTCAATCTTTCTGATGACCGCTGCTCCATTTCGTTACGTAATTGAGCCATTTCTTTCCTGAATAAAACAAAAAACATCAACTCGTATTTTAGGGTGTTCTGTAACACTTTACAGAATTATTTCTATTGTTCAAAAACATACCTGGACCGTTCAACAAGATCCTCTGCAAATGTAAGTATTTTTGAATCACCGTTCACAAACACTGGTTTTTCATCTCGTTTCAGATCATTTACTAATTTCAAAAGTTCCTGAAATATTTGATTTTTATTTATAAGATAGAAAAATAGGTTTTGAAGGTGAGGGAACTGAGAAATTATCTACTCACCTGAATTCTGATTTCATAATTATCTTTCAACCAAACATCCCTGTTATCTCTCTCTTCGGCCTCTTCCTGCCACTTCCGCCGCAGTTTTAGGTTTTCCATCTATAAATTCAAATCAGGGGTAAGAATTCTCAAGTTCAAGGAAATTCTTCACTTACACTGTGATATAGGTCTTACATTTAGTCTTTTGATCTCAGCACATTTTGCACCATAATCTTTCTTCATTTCATTGTATTTTTTAGACAGAGAAGAACATTTCTTCAACATATCTTGTCTTTTATCTTCCACTTCTGCAAAAAGAGAATTTCCTCGGCTTGCAGAATCCGATGGACCAGCTTTCAAACCTGCCAACTCACTTTGAGCCACAGCTAAACTTTCTCGAAGCTCCTGTAAGGAGAATTATTTTCATCTCATTTCATATCATTCACATAGAATTGAAAACCTGCAGAAATCAAATCAAACCTCTATCGTTTCAGATTGATCCGTCATATCAGATTTACAAATTTTAAGTTTTTCTTCCATCATTTCTAAGTGTTCTCTGGTGTTATTGAGTTCCTCAAATAAAGCTGTTTTATCTTTCAATAAAATTTGATTAAGCTCTTGGTGCTGCTCGCAAGCAAGACGACCAGCTGCATGTTCTTCCTAAAAGTACCAATAATAATAATTACAGAGCGCATTACAGTGAGATGAGAGAATAAGGTGTTAGAACTGACCACTAATTCCTGCAATTCAGCTTTCAAGGAGGCAACCGGTGATGTATCTTGAAATTCTCTAAGTTCTTTTCTTGTTTTGACCAATTCATCCTTTTCAAGAACTTGCTTTTGCCGTAGTTCCGATAGATCATTTTCTAAAGATAATATCTGTAAAACAAATTCCCAGAAATAATTTCACAAGATAATCATAACGTTATCAAGTAATCTAGCAACCAACCTTGCTCTCTAAATCTTCAACTCTTTCGGCATGCTCCTCTTTAAGTTTGAGAATGGACAGGGCATGTGACGCATTTAGATCGTGGAGTTGCTGCTGTTGACTGTCAATTTCTGTCTGATAGTCAGCCTGAATCCTCTCTGACACAACAAGACGACTTCTCAAACTGTACACCTCTTGAGTAAGTTCCTAAAGTAAAAACCCATGTAAAATGTTTTCCCTACAAAAACAACAAATTGGTTTTACAAGAGAATACCTCAATCTTCCCAGATTGTTCCTTGGACAGTGAAGATATTTGCTCATATTCAGCAGCAAAATCACGAAAACTTGAGGAATCATTATGCTCACTGGCTTCGCCGCTCATTTTTCTGAACCGGCCAAAGGAGTAAACCCTTTCAAACGATCAAGGAAAACTATAATGCACGAACCGGCAATCAAAACTAAACCAAACGCACGAAAACTTTCAAATTAAAGAACGTTTTTCTATTGTTTTCTGTTGTCTGTCATGACTTCAAAATACCAACCTATGTCGACGATTATCTGTCCCGTACGGCAACTTAAAAACAAGTCTTCGATGTAGACTTAGAAAATAATACACCGTTAGTTAATTAGGGGCAATTAGTAGTAGAGATTGAAATATGAAACCTAGACGTTGAAGATCAAATCTTTATCTTTTGTTGTAATAGTGCAGTAAGTGGCACTAGCCGACGACAGAGTCGTGTGTACCAACGTAAAAAGCGTAAAAAGTGATGTCTTAGAATCGCAATGTTTTCAAATTATTTCAGAGCTGTATTGCCATGCACAATTAATAATAAGAAGCACTGCGGTAATAGGTTTTCGATCATGGATTTCAATTTTTTCAAATGAGTTGTAACTGTTGTATTGGATTGAGTCGACTGACAGACGAGACGGAAGGTGGGTGGTGGAAGGGGGTCGACAACATTGACAACAATCTCAGATCATCGGAGTATCCAAAACTCCCGATGTAATTTCTAACTTTTTCCTTTAAGTCCTCTAATCCGTGCTATTTGTGATTCTGATTTTGTAATTACTTAAGACGCTCTGTTAAAGCTTTAGGTGTCGTATGTTAGCCAATGGTGGGCACCTAATGTTGTTCTGTGTGTATGTTGTGGTGTCAAGAATGTGTCAAAGATTCTAGAAATCAGTAACCTCTCCCGGTAACAAAATTATTAAAAGAAATTGAATGATGGTCTGGATACATTCCACTCTGAGAAAGACGTAGTGGTTTTCTGTATAATCTTTCCCTGGTTCATGATACTAGATACAGTTTTTACTTTATCAATCAAAGTTTTACCCTGTCAAAATTAATTTTGGCAGCATTCCATCTCTGTAAGATATTCTCATGCAGTTTGTTGAGCCCCAACTCTTGAGAAATGGCAGGGTTTGGTCGACTTTTAGCATGGTGGAGGATACTTTTAGTTTTCTTAATAGTCTGGCTTGTAGTCCTGCTATTATCTGGTGTGCGTTCCCCCAATACGTCACCGAGTCCAGAACTTGTAGACCGAATGCAGAAAGCATTCAAAGATTTACAAGCCCTAAAGCATCAAAATGCAAAATTAAGAAGCCTTGTATTAGGCGCTCAAGGGTTAGTAGTAGAAAAATCAAGAGAGTATCTATTATTTTTAAAATTTAATTGGTTTTGCTTTCTATTTCATTATTATTGATTGTTTGTCTTAGCTCACTTTTCGGAGATGATCAGGCTGGCAACTTATTGAGGCCTGAGGATGATATAGATCCAAGCAATGGAGCTTTACCTCGTGGTGAGAGCAGTGGAAGTCTGCTGTGGAATGGTTTAAGTGGTTCCTATTAAATATACTCTTGTCTCTTTATGATGTTATAGGACATGATGAGCCAAGTTCTGGATATGAAGTTGCCCTGCGGAAATTGTACAGGGGAATTACTGAATTGGGCTATTATACAAATGCAGAAGTTAAACATGCCCTGAAGCAATCCAAAGACAGCTCAGCAACCCTTGCAGACAGACTTTCATCCTTGCAAAGTGGTATTCTTGAACACAAACAGTAAGAAAAGCTACTACTTTTTTAAATAGCTTGCTGTCTTCTTCTTTATATTGCATCATTGTTCAGCAACAATTTTGTTTCAGATCTCTATTTAAATATCTATCCCAAATAAGAGATGAGGATGGGTATGATCAGTGGCGCGAACAAGAGTCACAAGATTTAAGTGACCTTGTACAGCGCCGCATTCAATTCCTCCAGAATCCTAAAGACTGTAAACGAGCTAAGAAACTCATCTGTAATCTCAATAAGGTATCATCTGTGACAGCTTATTTCTAGTTATTTAGTTATAGCATGTTGATGGTTCTTATGTATATCGATAATCTTCTAGGGCTGTGGATTTGGGTGTCAGCTACATCATGCTGTCTACTGCTTCTTAGTTGCATATGGAACCCAAAGAACTCTCATTCTGAGATCTAAAGGGTGGAGGTATCACAAAGGAGGTTGGGAGGAAATATTTAAACCAGTCAGTGATACATGCTTATCTTCTGAAGGAGATTCCCTTGCAAACTGGCCAGGTAAAATTAATATCATTCGTTATCCTTTTTCACTAGAAGCATTTAACCAAATTAGCCAATGTCAACCTGTCTGTTCTCTCTTTCCTTTTTTTTTTTCTCCATCCTAGGAAAGCCAGATACTCAAGTATTAACACTTCCTATCATTGACTCTCTACTACCACCTCGTTCACAATATCTACCTCCTGCCGTACCAGCAGATCTTGCCCCTCGTTTAGCTCGTATACATGGCCAGCCTATTACTTGGTGGGTTGGTCAATTCCTGAAATACCTACTGCGACCACAACCAGTTATAAGTGAGCTTCTGCTAAACACTCAAAACAAGTTGGGCTTCAAGGGGCCTATTGTGGGGTATGTTCTTACCTAACTTCTACATTTTTTATTTGTTTTTGGAAAATAAGAAATTTTATGTCTAGAATAGAGATTTCATCCAAAAATTATTTTAACCTTTTCAGGATTCACATTCGACGTACTGATAAAGTTGGGACCGAGGCAGCTTTTCACCCTCTTGATGAATATATGCCAGCTGTGGCAGAGTGGTTTGACCAACAAATATCAAACGGCAAAATTATTGATAAGAGACGTATCTTCCTTGCTTCTGATGACCCTAAAGTAATTGCAGAGGCACGTAGCAAGTAAGTTTCAATTTAATCATCCTTACAGTAGACAAATTAAGATACTAACTTTTACTTCAGTGTTCATGAATGTAATGCTTCTTTTAAAACCTTGTAACTTTGTGTTTTTAGGTATCCAGATTATGAAATTCTTGGTGATCCAGATATTGCTAAGACAGCTGCCATTGGGTCTAGATATTCGGACAGGTCACTGTATGGGATTATTGTAGATATACATTTCTTGTCACGGTGTGACTTTTTGGTGTGCACATTTTCATCTCAGGTGTGCTAAAACTCAGTTAAATTGGGATCATCACAGAGACGAATGACAAAGAAGCTAATGAAATTATTATATTATCAGGTTTGCAGAGTTGCATATGAAATCATGCAGAGCCTTCATGTTGATGCTTCAGCAAGCTATCGATCACTTGATGACATTTATTACTATGGAGGGCAAAATGCTCACAGCTGGAGGGCAGCACAGTCACATTTTGCTCAAAAACCAGAGGAAATTGATCTTAAAATTGGAGATCCTGTGTCAGTTGCTGGCAATCACTGGGATGGTTTTTCTAGGGGGAGAAATCTCCGAACAAATTTGCAAGGTCTTTTCCCCTCATTCAAGGTGAGCCTGTTATCCTTTGTATGAATTCATATGCTTTTCACAGTCTTCAGCTTGTATATTGCTTTCTGATTCTATGCTCAAACTTATTTCTTTTCCTAGGTTGAGGACAGAGTTGAAGCTGTAAAATTTCCAACATACCCTGAAGTTCCCTTGAAGATTACTCAAGATGCTCCATCTGTTGTGGAAACATAAATCTTCTAGCTGGGATTAGTTGTATAGCCATGTGTGCCTTCCTGCCACCGGCTGGTCCGGTTAACTTTGTTTCATTCTTAGGCAGCGTTATTGTGACTCTAATGGTATGGAATGAAATGGATTATATTCCTTCATGTGTTTCATTTATTGGCTGGACATTATGTTAATTATTCCATTTGTACATTTTTTTTGAAATGTGTTTATTTTGATGATTTTTTTCCCCATTATTATAGTTACGATGAATTCTAGTTGCAGGCATACAGTGGTTGTGTTAAAGATTCACTGGTCTAAATAATATTACCAAGTAGTTATTGTATCCAAAAGTAAGGTGCATCCGACATGGTTAGGAATTGTTTGACTTTGTTTTTAATTTATTTGACTGTTCTCAAAATCTCCTATACTCAAAAGTACTTTGAAATGGTATGCAATCATTGATTCATTAGCTTTATGATCTCGTCTTCCGTTTCACAATTTATTAATTAACATCCAACTTTTTCTTTTCTTCTGAGGAAACTCAGAGATTAGAAGGCAGCACATAGAATTGTTGTCCAAGGCTATCTTTTGTGAAAGCCTGAGAACACACTTATTCCCCTTGTTCTTTTGACTTTACATGATCTTAATTTTTGTGACACTTTTGTTTAGTTTTGAAACTTTATCATGTTTGTTTATTGCACGGTGAAGGGCACATCTGTGAACAAAGTTTGTCTGTAATACATTTGGTTGGAAATTTCTGTTTATCAGAAGGTTTTTCAAATCCAAAATATGAAATTAATGATCTTAAACATCAGGCAACTGGAAAAGAACACATGTTTCCGTTTATGTAAATAAATAGGTATGTATGTATGTTGTATGTATGTAAGTATGTATGTATGTATGTATGTATGTAAGTGTATGTATGTAAGTAAGTAAGTAAGTATGTATAAGTCTGCGTGTGTGTACATTCTGTATGTACCTATGTAAATTTAGAAGCCAATATTTGATCAAATATTGTCAAATAATGCATATTGAAGAAGTGGACATGTATATCACATCTAAGACTGTACTTGGTCTATCTTAATTAAATGTATCTAGTAATCAACGTATTACAATTGAAACATGCATGATTGAGGTAGATAATATTTTATACATATTGCTCATTCTAACTTTTGAGATTTTATGTTGGTGTCATTTAAATACTTGGAGGAGATTTCCATATCTGAATTGTGGCTGGTAATGGTGTACTTGAGTATGCTGATAGATTAAAAAGTAGGAAGAAAATGTTTGGGAAACAATTGGTATTAAAATTAAATCCATTGTGAACTCTAATCTTCCTTATTATGTAGATTGGATTTGCATTGAGCTATCTACATCAATGATTGTATATAGTACAAAAGGGACCAGATCTCTGAGCCAGAAATGTATTTGATGTTTTGTGCTAGAATGTCATCCCATCAATTCTGCTGGTTGAACTTACTTTTTAATACATCATCTTATTTTACTCTACATTCTACGGTAATTTAATTTAAAGGTTCATGTCAAGATTGATATTATTTTTTGTGGAGTGTTTGCTACAGTTTTTTACACATGACAAATATGAACAACCTCACAAACACCTACACAACACACATTATATGCACTATTTGTTTTGTTTGTAAGTGTTATTTTTATTTTGAGTTTTTATTTTTGAACGTTTTAATTTTACTTGTGCTGTCTAAATGATCTGAATGTGTATCTATCACCTTTTGCCAAAGTATTTCTTTCGCCTGATGGAACAGGTATCCTTCACTCGCAATCAAATTGACCATGTTTATTACAAAGGAGACTAAACTTACTACAAACCTGTCAGATTTGTGAAATCAAAGAGCGCAAGAATCAAATGTTAAATTTCATGCGAAACGTCTATTGTTTTTTTTCTCTCTTTTAATGATTTAGTGCAGTCAGAGCAAATAGTTCTCTAAGATTTCAAGGTATGATTTATTTTTCATTTTATTATTTCACCTTGAACAACTGGCATTTCTTTTAGACAGTTGTTTGGTGGTGTTCGTTCATCTAATTGAATTTGTGTTGTGCATGAATGGAATTTTCAATTTTGTTTATTTGTTCTTCAACTTCATCTCATTAAATAAAGACAGTTTTAGAGAATAATGTGGTAGCATCAGCAGTCACATGGAGAGTTCTTGAAGTTGCAATCGAAATGGACGAACATCTAGAGTGGCCCCCTCTTTTTTTTTTCAACTCAGTGCCAAGAGAATTCTTTTGATGAGTAGGCTGTAAATTGTATCTGAATTTTACCCCTACTACCGCACAATTTGTTGATGCCAACAGAAAATCCTCCCTTGTGAACTTCAATTGGTGTAAGACATCTACTTTGCTGTGATATTTTTGAGGCAATGTATATTGATTTGTTTTAGTGCATCATAAGAGACAAAGTATATGCATTACTATTCCTTGATATGGTTTGTAAAGGAGCTCATTGAATAAAACTTACGAAAACCTTTGAGAGTTACGTGTTATGTAATATACATATGAAGCAAAGAACCTTTGTGTTTTATGACAGCAATATCTTGTCATGGACCAAATTTTGAGGTTTTAAGGCACACTGGCAGTCAATTGTAAAATCCACGGAACATGGTGTTCAACTCAATGTTTATTTCATAGAGTTGGCATTTTTATTTAATGATTTACACAAGAGGAAAACACGTAACAACAGGGTATTGCTTTCCTAATGTTATGTGAACATGATATTCAAGATGCTCTTTTTAAAAAAATATTACAAATTAAAAACTTTGTTTAGGTTCAAGTTTAAATACGAGTTGATGTCAAACTCAGCAGCTCATTCTAAGGTACAAATTAAACATAAAAGTTGAATTCAGGACATATACAGCATTTTCACACAACTCTCACCAATCACTTTTGCTCACTATAACATATATCTTCTCATGTCATTGCATGAACATCTTTACAGACTAAATAATATGGCATTAGCGTTCCAAAATGCCCAAACTGTTTAACACAGCATTGTTTCAGCATTGGAAGGGTACACTTTGAAGACTTACAGTGAAATGCATGGTCCACATGAGGACAATTAACAGCAGAAAAAAAGACGTCCTTTTCCCATCAGAATTTAAAAAAAGAAAAAAAAAACGTCACAAACACATCAACAACCCATGGTAGCCAAGTACCAGTAGCAATGATTACATAAAACAAAAAAAATGCTGATCAGCCCAACAAGTTTGAAGACCTTCGACAAGAGTGGAATCAAGGATTTTAGAAAACAATTCTGTTACCCCTTATTTTGAAAAAAAAATGAACCCTTCCTCTAAATAAAGCAAGTAATGTGACAGAACAGCATGGTTCTTGAAAGGGCAAAGCTTTTCACGTCACTTATATCACAAACTTTTTAACCGAACATAAGGGTACCAGACAACACTTCTCATATTACCCGCAATCCTTTGAAAAGAACATCAATCAGTCTGATGGTGGAGGGTAACGCATGACTGATTTCGTCAGCCAAAAAAAAAGTAAAAAGGTTTAAGCCATACTACAAGCGATATATAGACTCAAGTATACAAACTCCCTCAGCTTCAATTGCATGAGGTCACCCTGTAGGCCATTACTAATCCAGCTACAAGCCTCACGGAAACAGAAAATGGACACAGCACCTTTTAAGTAGGCCAGCAATTGAGTAGAAAAAAAATTATGAACAATAGAAAAGCCAACACTTCAGTACAAAAATATTTATTAATCATGTATCAAAATGAATTCTCACACTTGAACTATCCTGATAACTTCATATTCGCCCTCAAGTACGGAGAACAGAAAATGACAGGTAATCTCATACCCTACATGTACATGAATGTACTTTTTCAATCAGATACCTACCTACAAACACATATTTTTTCAATCACAAATCATAACTGAGCATATCAGGATTCTATATTTACTGAAGGAAGAGAAAATTTTAAGGTGTAAAACCAATGATGCTTAACAAAATTTATGAACGTAAAAATTAGAAACTAATTAACAGTACAGATGGGTCTCAATTCAAATGAGTAACAAAATTATGCATTGATAACAGTTGACAGCAACAACCATTGCACATTTAAAAAAAAAAGGGGGGGGGGGAGTTATAACTTGGTGGATAAGACTCAGACCACATAAAATTACATAAAACTCTTCATGGGTAAAATGGACTTTAAACGTTAACTACTCACACGGCCATGAAGAATCCATCACTGGGCATTAAGTAATACTGGTAGCATAATAACTTCAACATACAACCTGACAATCACTTAATTTCAAAGCGGTCTCCATGGATTGTTTACAAGTTACACATTTAAGTATACTAAAGTTCGCTATAAAACCACTGGGTTCTCCTCATTAAAACACATTGACCCATTCATACAATCATTTGACAAAGCCAAAATGCTGACCAACTTTCCAGGTAGCACAATGAGGGAGAATACTTCAGAAGTTCATTTACTCTCCCTCACTGCAAAAAACAAATATTAAGTACAATTCATGAAACCGAACAAGTTGACACATAGAAGCCTGTCAAAGCTGTCAGATGCTTAAATGTTCAAAACATCACTTCATTTTTTGTTTTTTTAACATAGTATTGATCAATCTTACCATATGTGCAAGGAAAACCAGGATATTTCAAATTGGTATAGTCATAACAATGAACATTCACTTAAAATGAAGTTTATCTTTAGACCAAAGGATATATTTATATGGGCATGCTACTGTCAATTGAAGTCAATACAGCAAGTCAATTCACAGGTTAGAAACAGGGAATTGGCCCAGGGGATGGTTCATGGAATGCATCCTCACTACCCTAACAATTCAACAGGTACCTCAGTCAATCTGTCAGCAGAAACTGCTGACTCCAACCACTACCTAGTTCCTTTTCATACACAAGTCATAGTAAGCCATAAATAAATAAATTAACGAAACAGATAAAATAAATGGAAGGAGCACAAGCTCTGCTTGAGAGAAAATGAATTGGACTGTTCAGTGGCAACTATCACTTTGCTTAGACTGGCACAGTAAACCCCACTCTTGCTTCAATAAATAACATAAATAATGCTAAAAGATTGGCCACTCCATGTAGAAGAAGCAGAAAAGAGCCTAAAGTGGAGAATTGTAGTACGAATGATTGCCCAAAATTTATTGAGATAGATACTAATGACTGCCTGATCTTAAGTGATCAGATGCCCTCTTCATTATTACTACCATATGAAAATAAGCCACTCCTGTCACATTAAATCAATAGCTAATGAAAGTTCATGAATTATAAAGAACGCAGACTGTCCCTTTCACAGTTAATGAGACTGCCTTCAACTCCTTCCCCAAAAAGCTAACGGAAGACATAACTGCAACTTGAGCCTTGGCAAAAATTAGCGCAGAATAGCCCTTTTCGATGAGAGGAGAACTCCCGAGGGTCAGTCGGTGGAGGCCATGACGAAACTACTGCACCAAGAGTCTCTTTCTGTAACCTGGAGTCCAAAGTGTTATAATTAAAAATAAAGTAAGATAACTTCAAATGAAGAGAATTTTAAACCCAAAGTCATACTTCAGTTAGAATTTATCCTGGAACAGGAACAAATTGTTGGTAGCTGCAACAGCAATGATATTCTCTAGAGGGTGCCAAGCTGTATGAAGTATTTTTTTGTTGAAATCCAAGCAGTCCACACTGATATCATCCTTCTTCCTCTTGCCTCCAGTGCACACCTGTACAACATATTCAATGATATAATCAATAAAAAATAAAAATTTGTAACACATACAAAACAACAAGGGGACATTGATAATACCTTTCTTGGCTTCAAAAGTGTTTTAGGCTTAGCCACGTCCCGCGAGGCTTCTAGAGTTGCATCTTTTTTGGTGGTTCGATCAAACATGCGGAAAAAGTTGTTGTAGGAACCAGTCATAATGGCTGAGTCATTGCCATTCCAGCAACATTCAAATTTATCAAAAATGCAATCATTTTCATACAATGAGCAGAGTTTTGATCTGAGGTATTCATGAACCTAACGCCAGAAAAAAATCATACACCAAACAAAATTAGTGCTTAACAAAATCAAGAAAACATTACACAGCTAACTTCAAATAGCACTTACAGGATAAGACTCAATGGGTTTAGTTTCCATGTGCAAGTCCCACACCTTCACTGACAAATAATCTCTGGAGATCATATACCGTCCAGAATTTGAAAGTTTCACATCTGATATACTTGAGATAATTTCAGAGAAGAAACTCCGGTTGGTCGGGTCTTCTGGCTCTTCAAACACTGAATAAACAAATGTAGAAAGAAAATGTAATTAAGGGAGTCAATCACACTAGGTTCAAGCAGTAATCTAATAAAAACTCACATTTTGAATGCCTATCACAAAGTGCAGCAGCACGCATGTCACACAGCCTGATAGTACCCTTGCTACTGCTATATACAAAGAGGTTGCACTCCACTGGGTGAAACTCAGCAGCAGTGATAACTTCTGTCAGTTCTTCCATGTTGGTGGGCTTAATATCTACAATGTTGAAGCTCTGATCTGTGATCTCCAGATGCCAAAGATTGATTCGGAGATCATCTGCTGACAAGTATGTCTCCTGGTCTGAGTTTACACTAATTGAATTTATATGGTATGTGTGCGCATTAGCAAAGATTCTTCTGGGTGATGCTTCAACCATGAGTTCCATTGGTTTTATAACAGGAACCTGGCAAGAGAGGTGTCTTAATCAACTGCAGATGTGGAGTTTGTTTAAAATTTAAAAGAATTTTGTACATGAGCACTCAAGCAAATATAAGTTGACAGGGATAGTTTAGACTTACTCTGAGCTGTGTTATACATGATGGGTCTCTGACTTGTCCTGTTTCTTCTTTGGTGTTATAACCTTCAACTTTCTTATCCCTTTCAGATACTTTCCACAGTTTAATAGTTTTATCTGAAGGAAAAAAATAGTGTGATTAAGAAATTGGGCAGTACTACCAACCAATAGATTGATAATAACACCAAACCCAAAATTATAATCCCACCATTTGTAGACAGCAGAAAGTGAGCTTGATTCTTTCTCCTCAGCCATCGGATTTTATTGATTTTTTCTTCAATTTCTAAGCTTTTAAGGTAATCAAATTCAGGCTCATGGCTCTGAAAAGTGCTGTAAACATTGTACTCCCCTCTCCTTGGAATTACACTTTTACTCTGAAAGTAAGGATTACAAAATTGATTAACATAAAAACTTATACATTCCAACAGAAATGCATAACAGAAATAGAAAAATTTTACAAATATTTTTTTTTTTGAAAAAGAAAGAAAGGAGCTTACAACAGGATCTCTTTGAAATATGACCACCCGACCTCCTTTGTCACCAGTGGCTAAGAGGTCTCCATCGTGATTGAACTCAACACATGATATGATATCAGCTGAAACATGAAAATAAATATTTGTTACTTTACAAGATAATCCCCAAAACACCCTTTCTTTAAATCAGATTAAATAAAAGGCAAAGGGGGAAAAAAAGAACAAGAAGACTGAACCTATGCTAATGAATGAATAAATCAATGAACTGACAGAATTATATTGATACTTCGACCGAAATAAAAAGTCCAATACCCGATTCACTGAACACTTAAATAATTTTGATTACAAAAAATTTTGTATCATAGATGCCGACCTGTAACATCTTTCATTTGAATTTACCCGGAGAGGTTAGGGTCGTATCTTCTGCGGACTATGACAACAAAGGTTAAATAACAACGGTCAGGACAAGAGAGGACAAAATTAAGCCCGACCTCCACCCCCGATTGAAAAAATCATCTTGTGAAGAAACACAGCAAAGAAATCGACCGTTTAAAAATTTGATTCATGGCTTTTGCGCCTTTTCTTTCCTTGGCAAGTGTTCGAATAGCGGCGGAAAATGCCGCATCAAATTTCTACTTAAGTCTCTCAGTTTAGAATTATAAGACATGTTTCGTCAGTAACGAAAAGAGAGGGCGTCAATTAAAGGGCCAAATAGTACACAAACAACTGTCGTGAAGTTCTGCTCTGTTGAGAGGGGAGCAAGAACATAAAGCTTGGACAGGACAAGATAGCTAAGCTTTACTCAACTCACCTTCGGTAACATCGTCGTCAAGCGTCCCTTTAACCTGGGAGAAATACCACTGCGTGTCTCCATTCCCTGGAATAGACACCACCATTTCAAAACGAGTCGCACAGGTAACCTTCTTCAAAAACTTTACCAACGGCGTCTAATCGCATCAGCGACCGGATCGGGACTAGCCAAACAGAGGCCTAAATGGGTCAGGATACGGATAGGCTTCTATACCACTCACTTACCAGCCATATCAGAACCCGGAGGATATTTAAACATAAGTTTTAAACCTCGATTTTGTAGACTAACACCTCAAATCGTACAATAGTCAAAAAGGAAAGCGGATGGAAAAGGATTTGTCACATTTCAATATAAGATTTCTTAGACCTTCCTTCCTTTATGGCGGCACTCACGAGTGAAAAACATGTGACGTCATAGGCGATGCTGTTTTTTCGGAACAGTTGACTGTCGCGACGCGTTTAGGTTTCCGTCTGCTGGTAAGGCGCCAAATTATTGGCGCGCAATTTGAAACTGCCACAGCCACACGTACAAAACGAGAATATTTAAAGGGATTTCGTTCAGATAAAAATATTTTGGGGAAAAAAAGATGTATGCTCTGTGGCTTATGAAATGACTTGTAAATCCAAGTAGGCCTCTGTTTCGTTTTGTCACCGTCCGCTTTCTTAATTTCCGCGATGGTAACTTTTTTCCTTCGTTTTAAAGACGATTTTACTTATACCCATCTCATAATTTTACTTTTCACAAAATCGAGGAGAGTTTCATGACCGTGAGATTACTTTTGATTTGAGTGCATCCTGTGTGTCAGGGCTATGACACAGCAGTCCGCCGGGTTTGCATGCCTTAACGCACTCAAGGGGCCATGGCGCCGTACGGGTGGAGCGAGTAGGCAAACCCGCACACTGTCCTGTCGTGTCCCCGACACACTGGGAGGTGCCTCCGGGCTATGGGGTAAGATCAATCGTCTTTTGAACGAGGAATCACCTGAACGTTTGGCCCCGTTGACAGCGGTGTTGATGATGCAGCCCAGCCTGGTCAGGGAGGACTGGCGGATCATCTCCGTGGACTTGGCGAGGATCTGCCGCGGGGGCGACGGCGGCGGGGACTTGCCCCTGTGCACGGCGACCACCGCCTTGGCCGAGGCCCCCTTGGCGCCGGCGCCCTTGCCCGAGGAGCCCTTGCTCGAGTCTCGCGGACGGTCCGACGCCCTGGGGCTGGGGCCCCACAGGCCCACCCCGACGCCCACCCCGGCGTGCCTCATGGCCTAGAGGGCCCGGAGCGGCGCACGCGGGCGGGGCGGATCGGGGCGGGGCGCACCCGGGCGGCTCAGCTCAGTCCGTCTGAAACACACACACACACAGGTATGGGTGGAGGTCATATGGCAAACACTGAACACCCACGAGGAAAAGATCAGAAAAATCTGAAAAATTGGGATAAATCAATAAAAATAAGAGAAAATCAGAAAAGTTAGGGAAAAACAGAAAGATTGGTTGAATTTACTGTGAAGGATCCTTCGTGCTGTGCGCCGGCTTCTAGGACTGTTTTAGCGCGGGAGGACCATATCCAGGCCGTTTTCACCCCCCCCCCCCC